GGAAGAAAGAGGGGGAAAAAGCGAGCCCCCCTCCCTCCCTCTCCCTCTCTCTCCCTCTCTCTTCTCTTCTCTCTATAAAGAACCGTCAAGTTTTAGTGCGCATTGCTAATTAGTCAATTTCTCTCTGCCTTCACAGGCTGGCGACTTCGCTGCTGAGCTGAAACTGCTAATTTCTGTGACCAGCTTTTTTCTTAGCTGTGATCTGGATGAATGAGTAGCTGTCTCACAGAGATGACAAAAATAAACTCTAATCCCCCCCAAAATTTCCACTACATCTTTCTCATGCATAGATTTATGATCTTCAAGCGCTCTTGGCAATATGCAAACTTTTTTGTGTCAAGCTTTATGATCTTGCTGGAAAACATATTTTTCTCTTATTATTTTTGTCTGGTTAAACAACCTCTTTTGAAGTTCTCTGTCAGCTTTGGACACATAAGAGTAAAGAAGCCACGTTTTTATTAAAACATTAACATATTGTCAGATTTGTATTTCAATTAAGAGTCATTGGTTTGCAGGAGCTCTTATTAACTGTTAGGGGACCCAGATGCAATTTCACAAGTGTAACCTTTCAACTCCAGAGTTCACTTGATAAATAAGGGCCATCCCATAGGGCTCTCACTGTGACCCTGCTTAGCATTCAGAAGGAACCTCAGTCTGCTTCTAGGAATGTAGCAGCATCAGGAAGGCATGAGCATTTGGGTAGAGGATATGTTCTCCAGACTTATCTCATGATGTATGGAACCCTTATTTAAGTTGTCAAGGGGAGTTGGAGGTGTCCAAGAAACACACACACACACACACACACACACACACACACACACCCACCCACGGGGGGGGGGTGTTGACAGAAAAAGAAGGGTATGCCCTTGAATAAAATGAATATAAAAAAAGCTGAATATGAATTAAATTGAGTTTTGTTTGTCAATAAATGTAGATTATGATTCACTCTAATGTGTCCTGGTTAGTAAACTTATCAAAATGTCACCCAAACACTGCCTTTCTACACACCCCTCCCCCTTGATTTGTGAGAGATGGAAAGACACCTGCTTAAGTGGGGGCAGGGGGAGGCAGCAAGTTTTGAGGCTTAGAAATAGGGGATTTCCCAGCTAGAATGATAACATTGACATGCATGTGGGATATTTACTCAATAAATGAAGGGGAATGAACCAAAGCCCTTACAAAGGCCCCTTGCTATCCAGCATCCTAGGTTACCTGAGAGTAAGACTTCTGTATTCAGATCCAGCTGAGGTCCTTCATTCTCCTCTCACATTTAACAACAAAACTGAATACATAGAAAGACAAAAGACACGCTCTTTTTGTTGTTGTCATTGCTCTTTAGGACCAAGGACAGAAAGAAGACAGATTCAAGTTATCTGGTCTTACTATTTCCACAATTCTCTTCATTTTAGAACTTCCCTTATGTTTGTCTTCCTAAGGAAGACCACCTCACACTGACACAGTGCTATTCAGGGGTTCCATGTCATTAAGAGTTAAAGGTACTAAATATGTGAGTGTCCAAATTCTCATTCATGCAGAGTGCATGCTCGTCTTATGTTTCCTGTTGGTCTTTTGTGGACTTCCAGAAGATAACTTGGAACTCAAACCAACAATGGATAATGATGGATCGCTTAAATTACAGCCTCTTCCCATTGCATCAAAGGAATTAAAGTATATTTTGTAGGGATCAAATTCTATTTTGAATTTCTTAATTATTTCTACTACTACTAATATATATATATATAGTAATAGTATATATAATTAGTATATATGTAATTATTATATATATTATAATTATTATATATAATAATATAATATATATATTATTTTTTTTAATGAGTCTTGGAGTCTTTGTGCTTCCTGCATTTTAAAGCTACCAAATTTGATGACATTTAAACTTTCAGAGAGAAAATAATAACTACAGCTTCTCTATAAGCAACTAAGAATGTCAAAACCAAAAGAAAAAAAAAAACCCAAAAACCCCTCCCTCATACTCTGCTGGCAAATGAACATGTATATCATGTAAACCTCATACCTCTAATGTCTTGAATAGGCGTTACTGCAATGGTTGCTAGACCCACAAATGTGATGACACTATTTACAATAAATCCTGTTATGAAAGATTCAATTTACAGCAATCAGATGGTAGCTACTAAGCGATTGTAAGTATTTGAATTTTATCCTCCTTCACTGTTCAACATACAGAAATTGCATCTGTGTGTTTGATCTATCCTGCTGAGCCCTATCAGCGGCTTGCAACTCTGCCACTATTGTTTTTAAAATGGCAGGAAGGACGTGACTCTTCAAGAGCACTCAGCAGGGTAGATTTTTGCATGGCAGAAGAGGAGCAAGGATTGTCTTCGGAAAAAAAAAAAACACAATAACAACAGACACAGCAATCATGTAGTCATCTAATCTAAGCAGTCTTCACATGTTGTCAGAATTATCAAAACTATTCATCAGAGATTCTGCATTACATTATGTACAGTGGAAAGATCCTGAAATAACTACCACTGACCTCTTCAGGGAGCCGTCATCAGCTCTGAGCACTCTGGTTAGCCTTTGAGGTGGCAGAGAGCCAGGCTTATGGGAGCTCCAGTTGCCCACAGTCATCTTGTTGGACTAGATGGACAAGGGATGTGTGTAAAGCAATTCTGGCTGTGTTTGGGTGACTAACATGAGGGGCTGCTATGCTGAAACCATTCTCCTGCCTCTTGACTTTTCTAATTCAGATTCCCGAGTGACCATCAAGTTGTATAAACAGCAGCACCTGGCCTCCTCTGTGTTTCTTTCAGCAATGAATACTGCTTCATGAGAGCTGATCCTTGATATTGCTGCCATGTGGAATGCATGCAAAAAATGGGGAAATGGTGTTCTACAATACAGGTGGAATAAAGTTCAGTAAAGGAAGGGCCACACAGCTCCCACAAAAAAGGGAGACAGGAAAAACCAAACACAATTCATAACTTGCTAGGTTTTTAAAATTTTAAATCTTGGTTAGACATGGTCTGAGATAACATCCCAAGGTCACCAGCAGCATGTGGTCTATTGGAGAGCAAAGGGCTCCTGAGACATAGTAAAGTCAATGATGCTGTTAGCATTTCCCCAAAAGCCAAAGGTTTACTGTTGCTCCAAGGACTTGGACTTGGCTCTAGACATTCTAGTTCCAGGTATGTATGCAGTTCTAGCACCTCTGGGGACATTGCTCACTGCTAGCTGCTCTCTGGATACTATGGACTCATGGGAAAACACTTATGATTAGGTTTTGTTCTTAGAAGAGGATTTGAGTCCTACATGTAGAACTCCCAACTAGCTCTCTCTTTTGAAGACAGCTTCAAGCAGTAATGACCAGTATTGCTTATTGAGTTTGTGATCTGTGAGGTGGACACTGTTATAAATCCTTCAGATGGTTTGTTTTCTTAATCCTCTTGCTAATCCTGGGTTTGGTAGATTGCAAAAGCATCCCCGCCTCCATGAGGACTGGATCTATTTCCCATTCATTGAATGGGAGCTGCTTTTGTTATTTGCTTAGACCAATTGAATGTGCCAGACATGACTTTGTGCTGGGTCTAGGCCTTAAGAGACATTATATCCTTTAACTCTCCCTAGTTCAATGCTTTAGCTCTAAGAGCTGCCATGTGAAAAAATCCAGGCTAGCTTGGTCAGAAGGTGAGACCCTACTTGGGCCAAACTTGGGTCAAACATTCTCCAGCTCACCCAGTAACTGAACACAGATGCACAAAAGAGCCAGGGCAAAACAACAGGATTAAGATGGCCTGGAATGTTTATCCATATAATGTTCAGCTAAATACAGCCATGTTGTTTCAAGTCATTACTATTTGGGGTGATTTGTTCATAGTAAGATCAGCTGATAAGGACAGATATCGTTACCATATTAATGATGATAATACAAGATGGAGAAAGCAGATAAAAATTTCAGAATCTTCTATTTTCAAAGATAGACTCCAGGTTATAGCCAATACATCCTGATTTGGTAGGTTAGCCAGTCTACTACACTGAACATTGCCTCCCATGAACATTCATTGTTTTCTTTTTGTCTATCATCCATCAAATATATATCAAGGATTTATTAGATACCAAATAACACACAAAATAATGGATATAGAATAGTGAATAAAATTGATTCTTATTCTCAAAGGGCTAACATTATAGTAGATAAAACAGACACAGTAAGTGAATAACTAAAGTTAATAATTAATGTATATATAAGAAATGGATAGCAGAGAAATGACAGTCCTTAACTTTTTCTTAGTGCTGTCTGTATATTTTTGCTATTATTATTTACTTGTTTGTTAGTTACTTATTTAGGGAAATCTATTATACCATTACAACTAAATGGCAATATTCAAAAAAGAGTCTCATGATTGGCAAAAATCTTCCAAAGTTCATAGCTCCATATTATAAGCAAAATAGTTATCCAATAAACTGGATTATTAAAAGCAAGCTTTCAAATTTGTCAGAAAGAAATAGGGTGTGTGTAACTTTTTACAGCTAACCAGATTGTTTAGGGCATCTCACTAGAGTATCATTAGTCAAACTCTTGATCTGTTGTCTTACATTTTAAAAAAGTCTATTATCTCATGAAATTTTGCTTGCAGTAGTACATGCAGAGGTGCTTGGTGAAACCTTCAAGAATAATTCAATCACCCAGCAAACACTCTGAGATTTTAGGGAATAGTTATTTCTAAGGCATGACTCAGTGTTGCATTGTGAGGTTTTGTGGGGAGGAACCCCCAGTTTGAGCCTTGAGTGTGGCACTTTGCATTGTATAACTTAGATTTAAGCACCCTCAGGAAGAGGATTGCTACAGTCCCTACCTCAAAGGATTTTATGATGTTGAACTTTTACAAGGATGTGTGATATAGAACAGACACTGCTTAGAGAGTGCCATATGGGTGATTGCTAAATAAGTAAATAACAAAACCAACAATAACAGCAAAAATCCCAAACAACTACAACAAAAACCAGGCAGAGCTAGGGGACTCTGTCTTAGGTTTCCTCTTATTTCTTTTCTGCCTTGTGTTTAACAATTACTAAGTAGAAGATAGAATACATCTGTTTTTCCTTGGGTAGCAATAATTTATGATTCTATTCCAAGGGTGACTGATCCCTTTAACCAAAGTATCACTCTTTTTTGACTTTGCTCTTCAATATTATATGTTTTACATCGTATTATATGTTTAAAACCATCATTCCTTTGACCACATTGATGGCATATATTTGTCTTAGGTAATTAAGCTTTTTAAAAATTACTATATTTATTATGTATGGTGGGATGATGAGCCTATTCCTGACTCTGAATAGTAGCTTATTGTCAAATCATCTTTATGCCAGTGACTGAAGTGAGAGAGGATGTGGTGCCTTCTGACTTTTGACTCTCATATTACTTTTGACTCTAAACCTGTTATTTTTCTGTTCTAGGTCTTGTCTCAGTTTCCTTGAATGTGGGGCTACATAGAGCATTCCCTTCATCTAACTCCTCCTCTTGCACTGAATTGAAACAAAACAAAGCAAAAACAGAAACAGTTCCCAAAGGTCAGTGAGGAACTTTCTTGGTAAAATAAGCTGAAAGTTTAGGCTGATAGAGAGGGAAAAGTGTACTCATTCTCGTCTGAAAATAGCACACAGGCTTGGGGAGGGGGTTGGGGAGGTGAAAGATTCACCCAGTAGTCACCCCTTCAGAATTAGATCATACATAGATGGCAGATCTAGAATGTGGGAGTGTCCTGAGTGTATCAACAGAAGTCATGTATTTTCCAAATTCGTTTTATATATATCAAAAGTTTTCAAAGATTGTAGAATTTTTTACTGTAAGTATGCCAAATTCTGAATGCTCATTAAAAAGCATGGAATGTTCCCCTCATAACCAGGACAACATGTTTTTATCATAAAGAATTATCACCTGAAGTTGCAAATTATTCTAATCAACTTCTCCACCCTCAAATTTTTCTTTTTATTTGTGACAATATTTTCCCTCCTTTACTCATTCTTAACAAATGAAGACATGTGTTGTATATCTCTCTGTCAGAATATCCACTAATAATTTTTTATAGTTCATGGAAAGTAATCATCTAAGTTTTTAGGGAAGTAGTTATGAGGTTAATAATCAAATATTGTGACATTATAGAACTAGTTATTTTCACCAGATCCAAGGAGACATGTTCATATCTTAGATTCTTGTCTGTGCTCATAGCTTCTTTCATGTGAGTGTAAAACTCTTCCACCTTCCATTTTCATAAAGTCTGCTTCCTTTTGTCTTTGCACTAGATCTTTGTATTTCACCCCTACTCCACTGTTGGTTTCATAATGGTATACTCATAATACTTTAGTTAAGTTATTCAAAGTCTATATTTATTAGTGCCATGCTGTAGAAGTAGTATCTGAAAGCTTGTATACATGTCAGGTATTACTGGATTGAATTAGTAAGGAATTAAGTTGAGCATCTCATTTGAATTTTCAAAAGGCAATCCATTAACTAAATATTGCTTTAAAACAAAAAGCCTCAAAATCCCATAGTAACATTCAGTCATGCCTAATACAACATGGCAGGTATGAATTTGAATATTTTCATTTTGTCTTATTATTATATAGAGTTCAATTATAGAAAGAAATGTGGTTGTTAAGGACTATTTAAGTTAATTTCCTTGGTTTTCTAACAATCAATTGAAACCAGATATCTCCTGGTCCCTCTTTGTCTTTCCCCACCCTTTGGTCTTCTCTTCTTTCTTCCCTTTCATCTTTCATATAAATGATCTATTCTGACGTACCACTGTTGGGACTTGCTGACTCACACATCATCAAGATAAGAACGTATAGGACAGGAGTCTGTCTGTTCTGACATGATTGTGCATGGCTATGCTATTGCAAAAGCCCTTGAAGAATATGGAGGTGTTTAAGATGCTTCCCTGCCCCTGAAAATTTGAAATCTCATAGTTCACATGGGAAGAAATTATTTTCAAATATATCACGTTACTGATGAGAAGCTGAGAGAAATATTCCAAACTATTGAATATTTTCATTTTGTCTTATTATTATATAGAGTTCAATTATAGAAAGAAATGTGGTTGTTAAGGACTATTTAAGTTAATTTCCTTGGTTTTCTAACAATCAATTGAAACCAGATATCTCCTGGTCCCTCTTTGTCTTTCCCCACCCTTTGGTCTTCTCTTCTTTCTTCCCTTTCATCTTTCATATAAATGATCTATTCTGACGTACCACTGTTGGGACTTGCTGACTCACACATCATCAAGATAAGAACGTATAGGACAGGAGTCTGTCTGTTCTGACATGATTGTGCATGGCTATGCTATTGCAAAAGCCCTTGAAGAATATGGAGGTGTTTAAGATGCTTCCCTGCCCCTGAAAATTTGAAATCTCTGAGTTCACATGGGAAGAAATTATTTTCAAATATATCACGTTACTGATGAGAAGCTGAGAGAAATATTCCAAACTATTAATAATAAAAATATTAATAATAAAAATAAATGCTCCAAAGTATTACTAATAAAAGTAGATGAATCATGTTAGAAGAAAATAAACCTATTTATGCTTTATTTTCTCTTGTGAAATGGCATGACAAAGCCTTTTTTAAA